GGTAAGGCACAGGTTGCGAGTTACAGCGCTGTCTTTGCTGTGGTACCTGGGGATCTTGCCTGCGATGCTGAGTGGGGTGCACAACCTGAGATACCTCACCTCGTTTCTTTTTCAATATGTTTTCTCGGATTGCCTCGCGTGCGGTGATTGATTTTGAGTTAGACGTATACTGCATCTGAGGTAAGGAGGGTCTTTGACTCAAGCTCCCTTGCCCTGTATGCTGAGCACTAGAATTACTAGAAGTTTTTTGCTTTCGACTGTGAAACACTATGTCATTTGCACCATCGAACTGAGGGATAGTAAAGACTTCTTCATCACTGGTTTCTGAACTTAATTTCCTTTCAATCTTTTTCTTACTATAAACTTCCTTAGTTCTTGGTAAACTTTTTCTCTTCAGTGATATAGCCTCTTTGCTTTCACTCTTTTCCCTATCACATTTTTGCTTATTTCCCGACAAAAAATTGTCACAGTGTTTACTTAAAACTTTTGAATCACAGTTTTGAGCTATATTCATTATCACAGTATTTCTTTCTACAGTTTGGGCACTACCTGAAGGCACAAAGGTTTCTCGCAATGCACATTCCTTAGTTCTCGCCTCGGACTTCGGCAGACGAACACAGTCGATTGCCCCATCCAACTGCGGTAAACTACAGCCAGGACCTTCCACTAAGTCCTCTATGTCCTTGTCTTCCCTTCTGTCACACACACACAAAAAGAAGGAAAACATGTATTATATAACAATCAAAGGAAAAGTAACAAACACTTTCCCAGGGGTAAATAAAGTTTCACTATCAAAACCCTGGTCTTTAAGAATATTTTTTTGGCATTAATAACAAAAACTGTTACTATGAATGACGTGAAATATCTATACTTTCCCTCAAATTATTCAGTTTAGCTGTTATCAAAAATGCACTTAAACAAGACGCATATTTCTAATTCTAATCATCGCTACTCATTATTTTATAAAAGAAAGAAAAAACTGACAGCTTCCGTGAATTCTAAAGCACTCTGATTCACCAAGTCACATTCAGAAAAGTAAATGTAGTGTTGACAATGAAAAAAATTAATAAAACAATAAAACTATTGTACAGGTAGTCCTCGATTTTTGTTCAAATTGCATTCCTGAATCCATATCATAAAAGAAAATAACCTAAAAAAATAATCATTCCCATAAGAAATAACTAAGACTTCATAATAACTGAAAATATTAAAACACACAAATTTGGTAAAAATGAAAATAAACAATAAATAACTGAAGTTATGTAAATTTTCATCAATAATAATATATGATGGATATACCAAGCTCATTTAAGTTAGAGAAAAGCTTGGTGAGTGACAGTCATGGGGAGCACAGGTGGCCATTCACAGAGCCGCCAATCTAGAGGGTCTGCATCATCAATGACATTAAATTCTACATCCACAATTACAGTATAGTTTGGCAAATTGCTTTACAGTCAGTTCTTTAAATAGTCCTTTTTCCTACCCTTTATAAAGCGCTTTTGTCTTGTGCTGTATTGCCATAAGGACATTGTAACGAATCTATTCTTCAATTGATTTATTTACCTTTTTCAATCACAGTCTATGAGAATAATTTGCATGTGTGTGGGGAGAGGGGGGATAACCATGAAAAAAAATCATGATAAAGGGAAACACTGCAAACAGGGGGGGGCATCGTAAAATGAGTATTGTCTGTACATAAATTTTAAAGTTACAAAAGTTTATCAGCATAAAAGAATCGGCAAATCAAACTACTATAGAGCCTGTGGAAAGCTTATACAAAACCTTAATGAGAAAAGTAATCATCACTTACAGAAGAGACTGGTCCCTTAAAGAATCCTCGTGGGTGGAAGACTTTTGACTATCATTAATCTCTCCTTCCTCATCCTCTCTTTCTTTCTCTTTCTCCTCCTCTTCTTCCTCCTTTGCTGGCAAAATGGAATCCCATATACGCTGAGTCATGTGTCTTGTCTCTTCCTCATCACTTTCCTCTTCATCTTCTCTGCCCTCGCTCGGATGGTTTTGAATGGTAACTTCATTAGTTGCACAGGAACCTTGAAAATGATTAAATATTTATCAAATCATTGTAAAATCCTGAATATATAACTCTATTAAGAAGTAATATATATAATATTATATATATAAATATATATATAATATATACAGGTTAATACTATGTATTACCTATTGTATACTATGTGTATATATGTATATAATATTCCTTATTTAATATATTAATATATTTTATACTATCTTATATTATTCTATACTTATCTTTTATATACTTTCATATATTCTTATATATGTTTTAATGACTATCTATATTCTTTATACTACTTATTACATATTATTTTATTATATTATTACACTTTATTATTAATTATTCATTTATTTTACTATCCTTTTATCTATTATACTATATACTATATGATTTATACTATTCTTATATCATATCTGCTACTTATATGTATACTGTATTACTATTATGTATATTATTTTATTA